TGCTGAACCACTGAGTTCAGAGCGTTTGGTAATTAAAAACTTTATCGATTGGACACACTGTAAGTTGAAAATATGAATATTTGTAATGTCACTGATATACACATTGTTTTTTGGTTCATACATGTTAACTCTTATGCATTCTTGACGTAGGGTAAAGGTAAAGGTTCCCTTGCTCGAAAGCCAGTCGAGTCCGACTCTAGGGTTGCGGTGCTCATCTCCGTTTCAAAGCCGAAGAGCCAGCGCTGTCCGAAGACGTTTCCGTGGTCATGTGGCCGGCATGGCTAAACACCAAGGCACACGGGACGCTGTTACCTTCCCACCGAAGTGGTCCCTATTTATGCAATTTCTTGTTTTCGAACTGCTAGGTTGGCAGGAGCTGGAACTAGAGACGGGAGCTCACTCCGTCATGCGGCAACTCGGGTCTCGAACTGCTGAAGTGCTGACCTTCCACAGCCTGCAGTTCAGCATCTTAACCACTTGAGCCACCGCAGCTCTTGACGTATCAGTTAATAAAAAACGTATTAAATTGTAAAAAAAAAAAAATGCCAAGCAAATTAAATTTTCCTTCTCCCCCTTTTTAGTTCCCTAAGCGGCACAATATGGATTCTTGGGACAATGATTTACAGTTTCCCGGGATATAATTTCTTTTAAAAAATCTTTAATTCTTTAACATCATATGTCTAATTCTGAATATGGCCCCAACATGCAGATCAAAATAAAATCTACACACCGAAACCTCAGGGAGATGAGGAATGTGTTTACAAATATTTACACAAAAAATTCCATAAAGTAAGAAGGGGGCTCACCTTTCCACCCCAGACAAGAAGTGGTATATGTGTGCAGGTGCATACATTGTATCTGTAATGATTTCATGGTCTGGTGTGTGTGTTTCTTTAAATGTTTAGTTTGACTGCATTACTGTAAGAAGAGTGATAGGGGGATACAAGTGTGATGTGATTGGCTGATGACTGAGAGTGTGGGAGGAGGGGTGTCTATGAGAGTGATTCTGTATGTGAAGTTTGAAGAGAGGATAGTCTGTGAGACTATGGGAGTTTTCGAGTCTATTCTGTGTGAATAAGACAAAGAGTTCAGCCTGTGTGATATATGTGTGCAGGTGCATACATAGTATCTTTTAAAAAAATGTGCATTGAAAATGTATTCAATGAAGGCTGCAGCTAAATCTCTATATCATGGGTGTCAAACATGCGGCCCAGGGGCCAGATCAGGCCCCCGGAGGGCTTCTCTCAGGCCCGCAGTCAAACTGGCTGCCTTCTGCTTCTTCTTCCAGTTCTGCTGCTGCTGTGTCAATCGTAGGTTTGCAGCTTACAGATACACACCTGAACAGCATACTCAAGATTGCAACAGCACAGATATTTTGATGCAATAATTCAGAGCAAGAGGTGTCAGTTATCAGACACTGTTATATGAACAAAATATAGCAAGAGTGCTACTGTTTTAAGCATGTTTTTATTTTAAGTAAAAAAACCCCCACCCATTGTGTTTGTGTCCTTTATAAAGTTTATAGCTCCACTATAAAGTGTCCTTTATAAAGTTTATAGCATTACATTTCATGACACACATGGCCTGGCCCAACAAGGTCTCATTTATGTCAGATCCGGCCGTCATAGCAAATGAGTTTGACAGCCCTGCTCTATATAGTAACCCTGTGCTGTTTCTTCTACCCATTTCAAGTATTTGTAGGTTCCTGTTTAACTTTCCAAACTTCCTCCCTAATGCATTTCACTGAAGGCATGTTTGCTTGTTCAGTGCATGTTAAGCCATCGATACAGACTATTTTAAAAAATACTATGGTTAAAAGCTCTACATTTATCACAGCACAGTACACCAGTTGGAAAATGCAATTTGTCTTGTTAGGATTCTTAAACCTACCATTTAGTTTCATTTTATTTTATCTCGTTTTAGGAAGTATCGTTGGACTGAAGGGTAATTCCGGTCAGTCTGTATACAGTGCCAGCAAAGCTGGGTTAGTTGGATTTTCTCAGTCTCTCGCTAAAGAAGTAGCAAGAAAGAACATTCGAGTCAACGTGATTGCTCCCGGTTAGTTCCGAGTTAAATTACGTATTCTCTGGATGTCACTTGGGATTTGAGAGTCTCATAGGGCTGCCAGGTCTCAGTTGGAAAATACCTGGAGACTTTGGGGGGGTGGACCTGGGAGAGGGTGGGGTTTGGGGAGGGGAGGGGCCTCAGCATGGTACAATGCCATAGATTCCACCCCTTAAAGCAGCCATTTTCTCCAGGGGAGCTGATCTAGGGCTGCCAGGTCCCCTGGGGGGGGGGGTTGCCTGCTCTAGGGTCCCCCGACCCACCAGCTCGGATCTGGGCCCTGGGGAAAACTCCGCCATCAAAGTGCCTGAATCAGGCCGATGTGCCCGGTGTGATAATGTCACCCGGAGGTGATGTCATTGCACCGGGCACGTTATTGGGGGCGCTCTAGCATTTGACCTTAAAACTCTATGGTACCATAGAGGCATCCCCGACATGATGATGTCACATTGGGGATGTCCGCTCCCTCCGCCCACCCGATGGGCACGCGGGGAAACGCCAGCTCCCTGCACTTAAAGGGAGCCCCTTTAAGTGCAGGGAGAAGGGAGAGGGGTGGCTGCGGGTGTTGGGGCTTGGGTGCGGGGCTTCCCCTGTCGGCCAGCTGGCTGGCGGTGGGTAGAACCCCCCCCAAAATGGGGGACCCCTGCCAAACCAGGGGGTTTGGCAACCCTAAGTGGGGGGTTCTTGTATCAGAGAAATCTATGCTGCCTTTAGCTTTTGTTTTGATAACATTTTTGAAGTGTATCTTACTAAGTTCAGTAATGAGATATTGCCAAGAAGCCCGGTTAGATCAGGCTGTAAATATAAAATTCAGTTTCTTCCACATCCAGTTTTACTCAGATTGGTCCTGTTTAGGGTTGTACATCAATGCTCCCTCTAAGCTGTGGAGTCTTGTGAGCAAACATTCTACTTTGTGAGCTACTGAAATTAAAGTTGTCAGCAAGTGATTTGGGAGCCAGTGTGGTGTAGTGGTTAAGTGCGCAGACTCTAATCTGGGAGAACCGGGTTTGATTCCCCATTCCTCCACTTGCACCTGGCTGGATGACCTTGGGCAAGCCATAGTTCTGGCACAGCTGTTCTTGAAAAAGAGTGGTTTCTGTCAGAGCTCTCTCAGCCCCACCTACCTCACAGGGTGTCTGTGGTGGGGAGGGGAAGGGAGCTTGTAAGCCGCTCTGAGACTCCTTTGGGTAGTGAAGGGCGGGGTATAAGTCCAATTTCTTCTTCTTCTCTTCTACTGCATAGTTTGCTGTGGAGCCATCCCTTCCTGAGCTAAGAGAAAAATGTGTGAGCCAGAGGCTAAAAAACTGTGAACTAGCTCACACTAACTCACCTTAGAGGGAACATTGAAAACCCCCAGTATTTTGGGGGTTTGGGTATTCTCCTGCAGTCCAGTTTAAACCGGGCTGCTGGAGAAGAGAGCCCCAAAAGTCTGCGAGTGATCCCAGAAAGCATTTAAAGGGCTTCTAGTCCCTTTAAATGCACTTCAACTGTGGTGACTCAGCCAACTCGAAAAATCCCAAATATTTTCAGGATTTTTTTGGCTGGCCATTTCCGGATAGCCGACTAAATGGCCCACTTGCTAACCGGCTGAAAAAATATATGGAAAATACCAATACAGTATTTTTTCATGGGTTTTTTTTGGGCTTGGTTTAGCCAATTGCACCTCTCTAATCCTTATTTCAAGAACCTTCAGATAAAACGGAGTATGTAAACATACTTTCAGTTGAGTTGATTCTCTGTTCTGCAAACTGTAGTATGAGTTTTGACAAATTATGACACTGGTTCTCAGGAAGCTGTGTAGATGTAGCTGGAGCTATGTCAAGATTTTACTTTTTCTTTTTCTTTCTAACATCCCCCCCACCTCCCCGGTTAGGTTTCATCCATACGGATATGACAGCACATTTGAAAGAAGAGCAGTTGAGGAAAACTATTCCTCTTGGAAGGTTTGGGGAACCGCAAGAAATTGCCAAAGCAATCGTATTTCTTCTGGAGTCTCCTTACATAACAGGACATGTGCTGGTTGTCGATGGAGGTTTGCAGCTCATGATTTAAAATTTCTAACAGCACAGTTTTGAATCTGGGGAGAATAATTCAGCCACCAGGCTATGTGGAGGATGTTACAAAGTAGTACAAATTGTTGGTAGTCTGGAAAACTTTAAATTATGGGCTTATATTGCTATTTGTATGTAGAGAAGAAAATTCTGTCTGTATGACACCGAATGAAAAATATGTGACTCCTGTATTCTGTGTATGTGCAAATGTTAAGAGAGACACTGAGGATTGTATTTTGGAGAGTTAGTATGCGGACATTCTAAATGAAACTGTCTATTTTAAATTCTGTTTGCATAAAGGTATGGCATTTTATTCACAACTATGTCATAGCAAAGTCCATGTGTTCCATTCAGAAAAGCAAAGCAAAGTGACAATAAAGTACTTTAAAATAGTCCAAGGCTGTGTAAGAGCACTTGCATGATCATTTATTTTTAGGAGATTGAATTTATACCCCACCATCTACTACCCGAAGGAGTCTCAGAGCTGCTTACAATCTCCTTTCCCTTCCCCACAACAGACACCCTGTGAGGTAGGTGGGGCTGAGAGAGCTTTCCCAAGGACTGCCCTTGAGAGAACAGCACTGAGAGAACTTGTGACTGACCCAAGGTCACATCAGCAGCTGCATGTGGAGGAGTGGGGGATCAAACCCGGTTCTCCCAGATTAGAGTCCACGCTCTTAACCACTGTACCAAACCGAAGGCCCAGCCAAAGAGGGTACTGTGGTGAGGGAACACCAAGACAGAAACGACTACTCACACAATCAATACTGCCAACAGGTCCTGAAAATCTGCATCCTAATTTGAAGGAAAAATGTCCAGGTAGCTCTTACCTGCTTCCCAACTAAACTGATGTAAATTTTTTTCAAGAAACTGCACTGCTTACTCCAAAAGCGCAAAGACCCCCATAACCCACTTGAATAATCCTGTTGGTATTTTTTTAAAAAAAATCTTAACAGAGACCAGGAATTCTTTAATCTAGCAAATGACACGTTTGAGACAGCTATTTTCTAACCATTTTTTCAGTGGCGTGATACAATTTCAAATCAAAGCACCGCCACAAACTGCCGTAATTCTTGTTGGGGGGATTAAGAGACCATGGGGGAGGGGGGTTGAAACAGGCAGGAACCCCATAGTTTGAGAGAAAGAGAGAGACAGACACACAAACCTGTTCCAAAGTATCTGTGTTTCAGTGAAAGAAAACCATACTGCCAGTTTGGTGTAGTGGTTAAGTGTGCAGACTCTAACCTGGGAGAACCGGGTTTGATTCCCCACTCCTCCACATGGAGCCGCTGGATGACCTTGGGCAAGCCATAGTTCTGTCAGAGCTGTCCTTGAAAAAGAGCAGTTTCTGTCAGAGCTATCACAGCCCCACCGACCTCACAGCCCAGTGTTCCCTCTAAACTGAGTTAGTGTGGGCGAGCTCACAGTTTTTTAGCCTCCGGCTCACACATTTTTGCCTCCGCTCAGGAAGGAAGCCCCCGAGCAAACTAACTTATGCAGTCGCTAAATTGCTCGCTCACAACTTAAATGCCAGTGGCTCACAAAGTACAGTTCTTGCTCACAAGACTCCACAGCTTAGTGGGAGCACCGGGTGTCCGTTGTGGGGAGGGGAAGGGAAAGGAGATTATAAACCACTCTGAGACTCCTTCGGGTAGTGAACGGAGGGGTATAAATCCAATCTCCTCGTCCTCCTCCTCTTTTTCTCAATCTCCCCCCCCCAGGGCTTGCCAAATGCCCCCCCTCCCCCGGAAGGCAGTAGGTGGGGGGTTACAGCTGCACTGTCCTGTCCATTTAGCAACAGGTCAATATGCGGCTATTTGGGCACAGTCTGGACTGTGTGATGGCTAGTTGGTGGGGTTGGCACCTTCGAGGTAGAGCCTGGAGACCTGTCATTACTAGGGCTCCCAACCTCCAGGTGGGGCCTGGAGCAATGTTCCCTCTAAGCTGTGGAGTCCTGTGAGCAAAAATTCTACCTTGCGAGCTCCTGGCATTAAAGTTGTGAGCGGCCAATTTGGCTACTGCCTACATTAGTTTGCTCTGGAGCCATCTTTCCTGAGCTGAGTCAAAAATCTGTGAGCCGGAGGCTAAAAAATGGTGAGCTAGTTCACAGTAACTCAGCTTAGAGGGAACACTGGGGAGATCTCCCGCTTTTGCAACTGATCTCCAGCTGACAGAGATCAGCTCCCCTGGAGAAAATGGCTGCTTTGAAGGGTGGACTCTAGGGCACTGTACCGTGCTGAGGCTCCTCTCCTCCTGAAACCCCACCGTCTCCTGGCTGCACCCCCAAAGTCTCCAGGTATTTTCCAACCCAGATCTGGCAACCTTGGTCATTACAACGGATTTCCAAACATCAGAAATCAAGCTCCTCCTCGTCCTCCTCCGTAGCAATGTCAGTATTCATCTTACAGAAGGGAACACTGTCTCCGTCATACACACACACACCCTCTCCACTCTGCAGGTATATCTGGGGAGACCCATGCAGTGTTCCCTCTAAGCTGAGTTAGTGTGAGCCAGCTCACAGTTTTTTAGCCTCTGGCCCACACATTTTTGCCTTAGCTCAGGAAGGGATGGCTCCAGAGCAGACTGATTTATGCGGTAGCCAAATCACCTGCTCACAACCAATGTTCCCCCTAAGCTGTGGAGTCCTTTGAGCAAAAATTCTACTTTGTGAGCTACTGGCATTAAAGTTGTGAGCAGGTGATTTGGTTACTGCATAAATTAGTTTGCACTGGAGCCATCCCTTCCTGAGCTAAGACAAAAATGTGTGAGCCGGAGGCTAAAAAACTGTGAGCTAGCTCAGACTAACTCAGCTTAGAGGGAACACTGCTCACAACCAATGTTCTCTCTAAGCTGTGGAGTCTTGTGAGCAAAGATTCTGCTTTGTGAGCTACTGGCATAAAAGTTGTGAGCGAGCGATTTGGCCGCTGCATAAATCAGTTTGCTCTAGGAGCCCTCCTCCCTGAGCTGAGACAAAATTGTGTGAGCCGGAGCCGAAAAAACGGTGAGCTAACTCACACTAACTCAGCTCAGAGGGAACCCTGCTCACAACTTTCAATGCCAGTAGCTCACAAAGTAAGAGTTTTTGCCCACAGGACTCCATAGCTTAGAGGGAACATTGGCACCCATGCAGTGATTTATGCTCCCCCCCAAATTCTCTTGTCGTGCCGAAAGAACTAATTCACACGGGACACACAAAGACGCAGATCTGCAAGCGCAAGTGCGTGTGTGCGCGTGCGCGTGTTCTTCAGCCGGCCCTTGCAAAAGAGGAGGGAGGCGGGGCGGCCGGGATTCCCTTCCGAGCCCACCGTCTCCACGGCAACCGCCCAACGGCCGCGTTAAAACCGACGGCCGACGAGCTGTACGGCAGGCCGCAAAGGCGGCAAAAGAGCCGGAAAGGCAGAGCGGGAGAGCCGCGGGGCGAGGGAAGGGCGCCTCCCTCCTGCCCACCTGGCGGGGGGAAAGGATGGGGACGGCTCTGGTGGAGGACGTGGCCGCCTCGGTGGTGCGCGAGTTTCTCAGCAGAAAGGTAAAGCGGCTCAGGGTCCGCTGGGTCGGCGCAGGCTGGCTTTGGGAGAGCGACCCTACAGTCCTGCGACATAGCAGAGCCTCATCCCCCCCCCCCCCCTTTC